CTATCCTATCCTATCCTATTCTATTCTATTCTATTCTATTCTATTCTATTCTATTCTATTCTATTCTACTTACTCTGCTCTCATCTGCTCTCCTCAACTCTACTCCTTATTCTATTCTGTTCTGTTCTGTTCTATTCTATTCTGTTCTGTTCTATTCTGTTCTATTTGCTCTGCTCTGCTCTCCTCAACTCTACTCCTTATTCTGTTCTGTTCTGTTCTGTTCTATTCTATTTACTCTGCTCTCCTCTGCTCTGCTCTACTCAACTCTACTCCTTATTCTATTCTGTTCTGTTCTATTCTATTCTATTCTGTTCTGTTCTATTCTATTCTATTTGCTCTGCTCTGCTCTCCTCAACTCTACTCCCTATTCTATTCTATTCTATTCTACTTGCTCTGCTCTACTCCTTATTCTATTCTGTTCTGTTCTGTTCTATTCTATTCTATTCTATTTACTCTGCTCAGCTCTACTCCCTATTCTATTCTATTCTATTCTATTCTATTCTATTCTATTCTATTCTATTCTATCCTATCCTATCCTATCCTATCCTATCCTATCCTATCCTATCCTATCTTATCCTATCCTACTTACTCTGCTCTGCTCTGCTCTGCTCCTTATTTCATTCCATTCCATTCCACTCCAAGTCAAGGACTCCTTGTATATTAAACTGCCGCAACCCAGCAATTGTGATGCCAGGGTTTCCGGGGCCCAGGAATTCAGAATCAAGGGCCCAGGAGCAAATCCTGGTTAGCGCAAAGGAACAGGACAAAAGTTGATCTTGGGCCAGAATCAGCCCATTCAGAGCATCCGCAGCTGCAGGAGTGGGTTTCGTTCCCCACCATTTTAACAGGGAGTGCGCGGCTTCTTACTTTTTGGCAGACTTCCATGTGCTTCTTGAGACCTAAGACCGTCTTCCGGGTGATCATGCCACAGGTCGGGCAAGCCACCTCTCCCTTCTCGTTGATTATCCGCTGCCACTGCTCCTCAGGGGTCGCTGGAGAAGAGAGAAAGAAAGAAAAAAAAAGACAAATCATGAATGCTGGTCAGGTTCAACACTGAGAAGTCTCCATTTTGGTTTGATCCCAGAACTCCATTCTGGCTTCTCAGGAACAATATGCGGTATAGGGTTGCTTTCATTCTCGTTTGTTTTTATGTACATTAATTTCCCTGCTTTGGTTGTTTTAAATAAATAACTCAAGGCAGCTAACGGACCTAATACTATTTTCTTCTCCTATTTTCCCCACAACAACCCTGTGAGATGGCATGGGCTGAGAGAAAGAGTGACTGGCTCGAAGTCACCCAGCCAGCTTTCCTGCCTAAGGCAGGACTGGAATTCACAGTTTCCTGGTGATTGGCCCAATCAATCGGCTTTCATGCCTAAGGCAGGACTAGAACTCATTGTAACCTGGTGTTTGGCAAAGTCACCCAGCCGGCTTTCATGCCTAAGGCAGGACTAGAACTCACTGTCTCCAGGTAATTGGCTCAAAGTCACCCAGCTGGCTTTCATGCTTAAGGCAGAACTAGAACTCACTGTCTCCAGGTAATTGGCTCAAAGTCACCCAGTTGGCTTTCATGCTTAAGGGGGACTAGAACTCACTGTCTCCTTATGATTGGCTCAAAGTCATCCTGCAGTTTTTATACCTAAAGCAGAACTAGAACTCATACTCTCCCAGTGACCGTAAGAATGCTACAATAGTCATGGGTGAAAACCAATCATAAGTCATTTTTTTTCAGTGCCATTGCAACTTTGAACTGTCACTATATGGATGGTTACAAGTTGAGGACTACCTGAAGTTCTTATTTAACTTAGAATAACAGAATTGGAAGGGACCTTATTGGTCATCTAGTCCAATAACCCTGCTCAAGCAGAAGACCGCTAGACCATTTCTGACTAGCGGCTATCCTATTTCTTCCTAAAAACCTCCAGTGATGGAGTACCCACAACTTCTGAAGGCAAAACCATTCCATGGGTTAATTGTTCCACTTGTCAGAAAATTTCTTCTTATTTCTAGGTTAATTTAGCCAATAACCAAATTGTCTGGCTGGATTCCAAGTCACTTAAACAGCTGAAAATCAAAACAGCCACTGCTGTGACACAGCCCCTGCAAAGGAAATAAAACCTTAGACACAATTCAGCTTTAAATCACAACGTTCTTGAAAAATACAACAATCAATGGCCTGCCAGCAGTTCCAGAAATTATGAAGCAGCCACAATAAATATGGGGTTGGCTTAAACTCCCATCCATGGGTCAATGTAGGCTTGCTGAGTTGTTTGCGACGTCAACTTCAGATTCAAAACCTGAATTGGCTAGAAGAAGTTGCTGATGTGTTTACTTGGGATATCCAGCTGTCTTCAGTCCAGTAAGAGATTTTCCAGATAAATCTATTTTGGGCTGATCCCAGAGACGCACATTTTGGCTTTTAAAGGTCTGCAGATTGTTTGCCAAAATTTCAAAATGCAGGAAAGTGGGGGTATCTGAAGGCCAACTAACCATGGAACTTTATGGGTTTCCAAGACAGGAGAAAAAAAACAAACCCAAACTTTCAGTGGCAGACAAAAATTCAGAGTGAAGGATATCCATTTTTTTTTAACTTTACTTTTTATCTGTTTTATTTACTTTTATCTGTTTGGTGCCTGTTGAAAATCAGACAGCAATTATTTTTTTCTCCTTTGGATGTGATACTTAAGTACTTTTTAAAGTTTGTAAAATATCAAAACTAAAAAAAAAAAAAAGAGTTTTCTCCCTTTAGGGTTAAATTTTTTTTGAAACCATACGGAGGATTTTCTTAATATAAAGTGTGATAAAGATTAATGAGTTAACAGAAGCATGTGTTATTCCCTGCAGGAAAGAGAAGCAGAGACGGTCAAATTGATTCTTTTATCCAAAGTGTAGATCTAAACTTTCTTTTTATTCTAAAATTGCTTCTGGATTTTATGCTTGCAATGGCAAGATAGATAGATAGATAGATAGATAGATAGATAGATGGATGAAATTTTGATTTTGTTAACTAGATGAGCTTATACAGAAATGGCTTGCATATACTGTCTATGGAGATTCACAGCCATCCAGGTCATGGTTGTCCCAAAGGTGCTTTATCAAGAGTTAATTGGGCTTCCTTGCTTTTCTTTTGAAGACTTTTCACTTCTCATTCAAGAAGCTTCTTCAGTTCTGACTGAATGATGGAGGCTGGAAGGATTTATACTCCTTGCAGATAGCTGGTCAAGAATGCAAATGACATTTGCATTCTTTTTAGAGAGCTGTTGAGGCCACTTGAGGGGGTTTCTCTGTGTCCTCAGGCTCACCTGAGTGGTGCAAATGAGCATGGAGCCTTCTTGGAACTGCGGAAAGGACCGTGTTGTAGACTAGAAATAGATGATGTCGTTCCCCTCCCCCTCTGATAAGAGAAGCCTGTTTAATTTTGACATGGATGGCCTCTTTGATCTCCTTTTTTCAAACCAGCGGTCCTCTCTGTCCACAATGTGGACTTTGCTGTCTTCAAAAGGGTGGCCTGAGTCTTTCAAATGAAGATGGACTGCTGAATCTAGTCCTGGTGGATTGGTTCTCCTATGTTGTGCCCTGCGCTTATGAAGTGGCTGTTTTGTTTCCCCAATGTACAGATCTGCACTGTACTGCATATGCCACGTCGCTTACTTGGTGTCTGGGTGTTTTATCTTTTGGGGTGGACGAGCTTCCATTCCCCACCACCCAGTCAGAGCTGAAGAAGCTTCTTGGATGAGAAGCGAAACGTCTCCCAAGAAAAAAAAAAACAAACCCCAGAAAAATCCAATGACCTCTTGAAAAAAATACCCTTGGGACTTGTACGTCCTGTTGTGTAAAAGCAAAAAAAGTTGCAGTTGTAACGTTGCTCTCTTCTACTCAGTGGTGGGATTCAAAGATTTTTATCACCGGTTTGGTGGGCATGGCTTGGCGGACGTGTTTTGCGTGCGTGCACATACTTTGTGTGCGCCTGCGCGACCAACACGCACTCTGCACAGGTGCAAAGTTATTCCAAACTCACCTCCTGCAAGCCTGCGTTCTCCTGGTCACACAGCTGGCAGGGGAATTCTGGGAGCTGAAGTCCACCTATCTTAAAGGGGCCAAGTTTGAAAAACATTTGACTTGGAGAAACAAGGGAATGGCTGCAAAGAGAGCCCCTTGCTCAATCTTACCTGTGGTCGAAGGAGCTGTTGCTAAGGCGGTGGCCTCTTTTTTCGCATTGGATCCCGCGTGCTTTTTCTTATGATCTTCAGTGTTACCGCTGAGGAGGGAAGCTTCCAATTTCTTTGCGCGATGAGCCTTAGCCTTGTCTTCTGCTTTCGCCAGCCCTGTTGATAAGCAGAAATTAAAATTTGGAATGGATACGCGTTGCGCATCTCTGGCTTCGATAAGGGAGAATATTAGCTCAGGGTCGAAATGAGGGGGTCCTTGGTGCTCTCTGAGCTTGGTTGCTTTCTTACAGACGTTTCATTACCCAGCTAAGTAACATCATCAGTGGTCGAAGGAGTGTGGGACGTGGAGAGGAGGAGGAGGACTGTGCGGTCCTTGGTGCTTTAGGAGTTTGGTGGGGGGGGGGGTTGCAGACGTTTCATTACCAAACTAGGTAACAGCATCAGTGCTAGAAGGAACTGAGGGATGTGGAGAGGAAGAGGAGGGGGTGGGGGGAAGAGGAAGAGGAGGAGGTGGTGGTGGAGGAGGACAACTGTGGGGTCCTTTGTGCTCTCTTAACTTGGTGATTTTCTTGTAAACATTTAATTACTCAACTAGGTAACATCATCAGTGCTAGAAGGGAGGGAGATTTGTGGACAGGAGGAGGAAGAGGAGGAGGAGGAGGAGCATTGTGAGGGTGTTTGTGCTCTTTTAACTAGGTGGTTTTCTTGCAGCTCAAAGTAGGTAACATCAACAGTGCTGATGATATTACCTAGTTTGGTAATGAAACGTCTGCAAGAAAACCACCAAGCTCAGAGACCCCCCCGCAAGGAAGGACCCACCAGTCTCTGGCTTAGAAGAACCAGATATGATATCCTGGGAAAGTCCTAGCAGGGCACACAAGGGTGCAAACAGACCTCCTAAATCTCTGTGGAAGAGAAAGGGCCAATCCACTCCATTTTGTTATTAAAAATTAAACCAAACTTAAAAACAACTAGAATTGTCTGCTGCAAAGCCAAAGCCCAGCATTCAGAATCTCGGACCCCCGGGTCCAATACCAGCCCCATAAGATGTTTTCCAGTAGGGCTCAACCACTGGCGTCTTTGTTTTTGATTTCCCAGGCTGGCTGATAGCAATAGGGATCTGCTGGTGGTCTCCTTTCCAGACCTTAATCCGGGCTGAATTCTAACTAAATTTTATAGATCAGTCATAAGTCGAGAACTGTCTGTATAGGTCTTTAAAGGTAAGGACCAGCATCTTAAACTGCACCTGGAAGGAAACTGGGGAGGCAGGAGCAGTGCACCTAAAAATGCACCCAACACTGAGCACGCTGCAAGATTCTGGACCAGTTGTAGCTTCCAGATAGTCGTCAAGGGCAGCCCCATGCACTGCACATTGCAGTTGTCCAGCTGGTGAGAGTGACCATAGAATAAAATTGAATGGAATGGAATGGAATAGAATAGAATAACAGAGGAGACCTTGGAGGTCTTCTAGTCCACCCCCTCTGCCTAGGCATATCAGACAAATGGTTATCCAACATCTTTTTAAAAACTTCCAGTGTTAGAGCATTCACAACTTCTGGAGGCAAGTTGTTCCACTGATTAATTGCTCTAACTGTCAACAACCTTAGTTCCAGGTTGGTTTTCTCCTTGATTATTCCCACCCATTGTTTCTTGTCCTGCCCTCAGGTGCTTTGGAGAATAGCTTGACTCTCTCTTCTTTGGGGCAGCCCCTGAGATATTGGAACACTGCTATCATGTCTGCCCTAGTTTTCTTTTCATCAGACTAGACATACTCAGTTCCTGCAACTGTTCTTCATATGTTTTGGCCTCCAGTCCTTAATCCTCTTTGTTGCTCTTCTCTGCACTCTTGCTAGAGTCTCAACATCTTTTTTTTTTAATATTGTGGAGACCAAAACTGGATGCAGTATTCCAAAATACAGTATACCAAAGCCTTATAAAGTGGTATTAACACTTTACCTGATCTCGATTCTATCTGTCTGTTAATGCAGCCTAGAAATGTGTTGGCTTTTTTGGCCAGCTGCTGCGCACAGCTGACATATTTAATGGTTGTCCAATAGGATTCCGAGGTCCCTCTTATAGTTCCTACTATTGAGCAAGGTACCACCTATATACAGTACCTGTGTATTTTGTTTTTCTTGCATAAATGTAGAACCTTACTTTTTTCCCCATTGAATTTAATTTTGTTAGATATCGCCCAATGTTCCAGTCTGCCAAGATCCTTCTGTATCTTAAGCCTCACTTTTGGGCTGTTGGCTATTTCTGCCAGCTTGGTGTCATCTGCAAATTTGATCAGTTCCTCATCCAAGTCATGAGCAAGTCTACCCAGCCCAAGAAAGTGCACAATGCCAAAAGTCAGAAGTGGAGGAGAGAGAAGCAGCAAACAGAGATCGGTTACTAGTCCACATGAACCATGAATTTTGTGCCAGAAAAATGGATGAAGAGAGACCCACCCCTTCACCTTTGGAGATAAAAAGACTTCAAATGTTCCTGTGTTGTTGAGTTATTATTGGAATCGGGGAGAGGAATGAAAACGGAGAAATCTTTTTTTTTTTTTTACCTTTTAATCCAAACGTTCCTGAGATGGACGGCTGCTCTCCAGTAAATTTCTTAGGCGTTTTCTGTTTCCTTCCTAACTCAAAAAGGAGAAAACAGAAATAAAACTTTGGTCAAACCCCTGGGTGTTGAGTCGCCCTTCTGCAATTAGCACTTGGTTGTTGTTGATTTTTGCATAATTTATTCCTCAATTAATGGCCTTGAAAAGAAAGAAGAAAATAACCAGGGGTTAAATCTAATTATTAGATTCAATAAATCCGATTAGACTTTTCCTGACTTTTATCATGTCCTGTCCTTTTTCTATTTTTACTCTTTGTAGCTTTTTATGGTTCTACTCTTTTTATAGTGACAAATCCCTTGTGTGTCTAACCACACTTGTCCAAATAAAGTTCTGTTCAATTGTAATTTTAATTCTAGAATTTCCTTGGCTGTCAAATCTTTGGATCACATCTGGGTAGAAACTTGGCAAATCAATATATAACATAATAAATAAAATGGGATAGACAATCCCTACCTCACCCCTCAGCCCAGAAATTTCTCCTTAAGAAAGAACAAACTGAATATTATATGACACGGAAGTTATTTTATGGATGGTTGGAGAATAAAAATAGAAGTGAAAAATAGAGATTAGTGAAATAAAGAATGTATGTTAAGACAGAGATGTAAACAATACGATGACTATTTTATATGATTGTTAAGATGACCAGACTCAATATAATATTATATTTTCATTAAAAGAGGGAGAAATGAATAGAGTTATAATGCTGATTATTAATATTGTAAGATTAGATAATTATTATCAATGTAATGAATATTGTAAACTTTGATTGTAATAGCACAGAGACATTTGTACTCAGATGACACA